CCGGTGCTCTCCACACTGACCATCCCAGTGTCCCCGTGCCAGCTGTCCCCGGTGCTCCTTTCAGCTCCATCCAGTTTCCTTTGCTCCCCACGGAGCCTCCCCGGTGTCCCATGGGGACAGTGGTGACATCCATGGGGACGGTGGTGACACCCACGGTACGGGCGGAGGGTCTGGGGTGACCCCCGGGTGCTCAGCGGGGGCTGTGTCCATCCAGACCCGCCGTGCCCGGGGCAGGGGTGGCCGGGGGTGGCCGGGGGTGGCCGGGGGTGGCAGGTCCGGCTCCGTGACGTCCTGCAGCCAGGCTGGGAAGGAGTCCGTGCCCACGGAGCCGGTGGCACCATCGCTGTGTCCGGTGGTCCCGGTGGCTCTGCCCGTGGCCAGGGACAATGAGGGTTCAGTGGGGCGGCCAAGCCCGGTCTGTGCGGGTCAGTCTGGCACCGGGGGGGGACCCCGACAGGAACAATTCAAGAAATAAAAATAAAAATCTTTTTTTTTTCTTTAAAAAAAAAATTAAAATAAAGCAAAGGGAAAAAAAACCAAAAAAAACAAACGGACGAGGACTCTGTATTTGGTCTAGAAATGTAAAAAGCGACGCCCCACCGGGACAGCCGGAGCTGCGGGACCGGGATGGAAATCGGGATCCATCCCTCGGCTGAGCCCGGCACCGCTCCCGGCGGGACGGCCGTGCCACGGCGGCGACTTCAGACAGCGGCAGCGGCGACAGGATCCTCGCCGGCAGCACCGACCCTCCCTGGGCACCATCCCGGCCGTTCGGGGCGAGCGGGATCCGCGCCCGGGCCGCTCCCGGTGTCGGTGTCGGTGCTACGAGAGCAGGAGCGTCCAGACCACCGGCACCACCGCCAGCGCCGCCGGCGGCACCCTGAGGCTGCAGCACGAGTTGTTGCTGGTGAAAATGGGCTCCGGGGATTCGTACAGGGAATCGTCTGCGGGAAAAGGAGGAGGAGAGGGAGGTGTGAGCCGGGMTGGATGCAGAGGTGCGGTGGGGTTGGGATCCGGCGGCATTCCCGCGGAGATGAGCTGGGTGTTGATCCTTCCCCAAAATCCTGGCTTCCCCAAAAGTGATGCTGCTATCCCCGGGACATCCCCAGGGTGGGTGAGGGCACGGGGCACCCCGGTTCCTGCCCTTTTAATGGGGTTAGGGAGCATTGGATCCCGTCCCCGTGTGGCAGAGGTGACATTGTCCAGGGGGATCAGCCGGGGGTGCACCCGCTCAGGGCAGGGCAGGGACAGGGACAGGAACACTCCCGGGGGTCCCAGCCACGGGGGGCACACAGGACCCCATGGGGACACTCCCCAGGCTCAGCTCGCTCTGGTTTGTCACTGAATTATGGATTTTTATGGACACGGAGGCAGGAAAAGAAGAGCCTGGTCCTTTCTGGGGATGCTCCATCAGTCCCCCCACCCCATCCCCCTGCCCCCCTCAATTCCTGTGCCCTGATGAGGTTTCCAGACCCATCCCGGGGCCAGACCCAGTCATGGGGTGCCCCTTCAAAGACTCCCCTCTCCCCTTTCTCTTCCCCTTCGCGAGACAGAACAAAATCCCAACGTTATTAAAATACTAAAAAAATAATATCAGCCGAGATTTTTTTTCTTTGCCCCTCCTCGCCCTGAACRGAACATGATGAGTTTTTACAGACGGTTCCGTTATGTTGGGTTTTATTTTAAAGCCACCAAAGGAAGGGAGGGAGGMGAGAGCCATCGGTTACCCGGTGACATTCCGCCGTCCCCGGGGAGAGCCGCTGCCATTTGCTAATTACACGTTAACAGGAGAAGAAAATTATTAATTTGTTTTTTTAAATGGCTGATTTATGCGAGTCGGAAAAGTAGCCACCGAGCAGGGATGATTATTGTTATTCATTTTTTAATTTTTTTT